ATACACACCTGAATTCAGGTATTTTGTACACACCTGAGTTCAGGTATTTTGTACAGTAAAAGAACATTTGTTTTTAATTATAGATGAATTTTCTCCCAATAAATATTTTTGTATATTTTTAAAAAAACATATCAAGCAAGATTAAATACTTTACTGTATTATCCACACTAGCAAAATTGACCAAGATTACACAAAAATTTAGTATTCTCTTCCTACCAATTACTAAATGTCAGAACTATACTAGATATTTTGTTACATGTAAAATTTTATTATAGACATTCTATACAACTATTATTAGTATAAATAAAACATTTTGAAAAAATATAGAATATATATTCCATAATATTATAAAATTAAATAATATTACATACAAGACATTTTGAAAAATCATATTATAGATAATAATATAAAATATATATTCTATAAAATCCTATAATAATATGATATTATTACATATAAGACATTTAAAAAACTATATTATAGATTATATATTATAAAATATATATTCCATAATATTATAGGATAATATATTATTACATATAAGACATTCTGAAAAAATTATAGTATACAATATACTTTATAGAATATATTTTCTATAATATTCCATAATAATATCATTACATTATATCATTACAAGACAATTTGAAAAATCATATTATTTACAATATTATAAAATATATATTCTATAATATTATAATATTATTACTTATAAAAAAATTCTGAAAAATCATATTATAGATAATATTATAAAATATATATTCTATAATATTCTATAATAATATGATATTGTTACATATAAGACATTTTGAAAAACACAGTTTCTAAAAATATGAAAAAATACTATTCTTATTTGGGGTTAAAAAATCAGGTTTCATTTTCATTAAAATTTCATTAAAATTTCATTAAAAATTTAAAATTTCATTAAAGTTTCATTAAGTTTCATTAAAATTTAAATTTCTATCATATTTTATTTAGTCTGCAGAATCTTTTTAACCATTTCACCTCAAGCAAGATGATAAAGCCACTGAGATGCAAGGGGATACTGAGGAGTGAAGGAAACTGAGAAAATGCTATTGAGGAAAAACAAACAATAAAAGGAGCAGGATTCAAGGAGACAGAAGATGACAAATGACACTGCAAATTTAAGTAAATATGCCAGTAATATAATAAGCCTGTACACCAATAAGTCCATAGCCCATTGATGAAAAAAGGCATTGATCTTACTCAATAAATATTTATTTTTCAACATAACCTTCTTTATTGTCAATGCACTTAATTCAGGGATGAATATTGAGCAAATAGATCAAACAGTATTAAAAATGGGTTTGAGTAAATGAAGCCTGTAGGTTTTAGTGAGGACTATCCTTCTCTAAATGTTGTAGACTGGTGGCACAATCACAAAGAACTGTATCAAATAATAGAAACTACATCACTTGAAGGCTTTCATCAGCAGGAACAACTAAAATAAATACTATGTGTGACTTGAAGAGAAAATAATGACATAATCAAGATTTCAACACAACTTCAAACAAAAGGTTAGAATGGAAACTGCCATCAAGACTGGAAAGAACAATGACAGTTATAGGTCAGACAAAATCCTTTACAATCCTTTTCCAAGTTAAAATACATATGTTAGTTGAGTCTGAAGTTTTCCTGACCTGCAGTAGTTTAAACTTTATAAAAAAAAAATGTAGTGTAAAGCCATTGCATCATATGAACAAAGTTAAGGATTTTTTTCATCGATTTTCTTTTAATGTTTGCAAATGTGATTATGACTGACTGCAAATATGCTTCTTGGATTTGCTTTTAATATTAATTACTAAAATTTCTCACTATTGATTTGAAAAGTAAAATAGAAATGCATTCTTCTAGTCATGCATATTTTTAATTATTTTACCAACAGCAATTTCAGAACAAGCATCAGATTGTTTTATTTTTTGATGATGATTTTGGCTTTGGATTGGGAAAGAATTTATCTTTCTTTAGAATTGGAATAGTTTGTTGCTAAAGACTGAAAATTAAACACATACATATATACACACAAACATGCACACACACCATATGTTGTTTGAAAAATCTAGACATATAATGTCTATTTATTTCTATTTTAATCCTCTCAAATTCACAGATCAATTTCTTAGTGGTACTATTAAACTAATTAAGAAAGACACCATAATTTTTTCATTCCTTTTATTTTCCCAAGTACTTTCAATCTGTTCCAAAATTATCTTCATGGGTGAATTGCTAGGACAAAAAAATAATGTAATTGATAGTTGTGAATTTTTTTGTAAATGCACATGAAATGTGTTCTGTTACTTCAAAAATTAACATTATCTAAGGGAGGTAACTTAATTTATACTTGTAACTTTGTTTTCAAAAATTGCAATTTAAGTATTTTAAAACATTTCTGTTATAATCATAATTTTTTTAAACTTACAATTTAGGTATTTTAAAACCTAATCAGATCTTGGAGCCTTTATATACAGGGTGCGGTGATTAAATTGTCACCATTTTATATTTTTAATTTCGTGCAAGTCCAGTGCTTTTTTTTATTTTGTCAACTGCAAAATATAGTAGGGTCAGTTGGGCACCATCTTTGAGAAAAAGAGCACAATGATACAATTCACTCTGCCAGAAAATTGGAAATGGCATGCTGTACTGCTTGGCATTTGTGCCAGAAACTCCAATACAAACATTTTATAGCATTTGGGTGTCAGTCTGAGGGCAGGGCAGAGGAGTTGGAAAGAGTTGGATGGTGATGACAAAGGTGTTTGGAGTGATCACAAGAGATGGAGATGTGATGTCTCCCATTCATCTCCCAACAGGGCCTCAGACTTAACATGGAGGCCTACATCAAGTGCCTTGATGAGGTAGTGATGCCTTGGATCAAACGAGTGGATACTGGAAGACACTATGGCAGTACTTTGCACTATGCCACACAAGCAGGAGGACACCCAGTCATGGCTGTCAGACAATTTCTGCAACCCCCTTGATTATGTGTGGGGCACAGTTGAGCAAGAGAACAACAAAACTCCTTTAAAACCAAAGATGAACTGAAGGCAAGGAACATGGCAGCATTCCCCAATTAAATTGGAGACCATCCAGAAGAGTTGCAGGAAATTCCAAAGTCATCTAGAAGCCATGGTTGAAATCAATGGCGATTTTACTGAATAAATTTACTCTTTAATATTTCAAAGATATTTTTGTGTAATTTTGGTAAATATATCTGTTAAAATTAAATTTTAAGATACACAACAATTTAACCAGTGTTATTTTCAATTTTTTTTGTTGCATTTAGATGACAATTTATCCATCGCACCCTGTATATACATGTGTGTGTGCATGTGTGTGTGTTCCTTTAAGTATAGCACTGTTTATGTATTTGTATATTTAAATAGAGAACAATAAAAGAACAAGAATTAAGAAGACAGTAGATAACAATTGACATTGCATTTAAATTTTTGAAGATCAAAGGTGACTAATAAGCAAGAAGCTGGAAGAGAGTATCCCAAGTGGGAAGTGCAAGAGAAGAAATTGTTAGCTTAGAACTTTGACGGTTACATCTAGCCATTTAAACTATAAAATCATGAGACCTTACCACCAATCTAGTACTGCACTTGAATTCAGAAAGTCTAGGTACATAGAGAAAAATAATATTCATTTCTTATAAAATACAAAAAAATATAGCACGAGTCAAAAGTGGGGATGGGGAAAACTGGTTTTCATGTGTCTTATAACTAAACTTAGTTCATCACAATCACTGCCCCAAACATAACACAGCATTCCTCATAACAAAACAAAACATTCTTCCTCACTATACTTACTACAGTCACCATAATACCTCAAGTCTCTATGAAGACCTAACTGGTCTCCATCTGTACAATTTGTTTGTGGGTGGTGGGGAATATAATAACAAGAGGAAAGTTCACCATGAAAGCACTTTTAGAAAAGGTACCGGGAAGCTACATTATGGCGGTGGGAAAAAAAACTTTAGCCTAGATACCAGGTCATGGCTGATGACATTGCAGATTGTTCTTTGAATTTTACCAAGAATCTCTAAATATATAGCAGGAGCACCAGACCAGATGTGGCAGCAATATTATGCATGCAAATATGAAAGCATAGATGTAACTACTTTAAAATTGTAGTATCATATGTAAATTAGAGAGACAAGTATAAATAGAGAACAACTGGTGAACATAGGGAACAGCTATACCTAGCAAACTTGGTTGCTATTGGTGATACAGAGAACTGTACTATGACTAATACTACGCAGAGGAATAAGCAAAATATAACAAAAATATTATTACCTTTATACATTTTCATATAAAAATAAAATATGCCTTTCTATTAACTGACATATATAGATGTATTCAAATATGCATACATATGTGTGTGCAGGGAGGGGGCTCTATATAAATCAAAAATATTAGTACATATTCATGTGGAGGTGCCAATGAACTAACAAACAAAACAGAAAATGAAATCAGTAATCCAAGTTCAAATTCCAGCTGAGACAGTTCATGTTCAGTTCAAACTAATGCCTTTGGAAAAAGAATGAATCTATCTCTTCTTCCCACAAGCTATGGGTAAAATAACAGGACTCTCTACCCTTTGGTAGCTAGGAAGAAAAAACTCTGAATTCAAACTCACATGGCAAGGAGCTAGCAAATTCACCCTATCAAATTTATTTGCTACTCAAACTACAGCAGCATCACCTTGCTGGGTGTGGTTGA